AGCAGGATGCAGCGCACCCTTCATGCGACTCGCCGAATATCTCACGGCGCTTCGCGCTTGGTGATGTGAGAGCCTGGTCCGGTGAGAACCCGGCGTGCTCCGTCCCGGCTTTGTAGGGATGCGAGGTCAATGGTCTAACGACTACGGCATGCACGACTATGAGTACACCCCCCCAACGCTGCACCATTGCACCAACCCCCCACTGGTGTTGACGTACCATTACAATGCATCGCTGGTTGGTGGCCACGTTTGCGTGTTGGCTTGTCGTTAGTGGTCTCTCCACCGTGTGCCTCTTTCTGTCTCTTATTTCTTGTTATTTTCGGCCTGGTCCCTTTTTGTCCTCGCTCTTTTTATTTCCTGTTCTCTTTCCTTAGGGCATTTGTTACGATGTCTTATTTAGGCTTTTTTAGTAGGCTGTATTTTTTTCAAAAAATGACAACTGGCCAAATAGCCCCGTGTTATAGGCTGTCAAATAAGCTTCGTTGTCATATTTCAGCAAGAAAAGACGTTGTAACACCGGGGTATTTGGCCAGTTGTCATTTTTGAAAAAAAGACGGCCTAAAAATAGCCTAAAAAGGACATCGTAACAAATGGACTTACGGTTTCCTCTTATTTTCTTCTCTTTTTCTCTTGTTCTCTTTTTCTCTCTTTTTCTGTGCCAGATGGCCTTGTTTCTGCTAGCGTTGTGAAGTACCAAGATTGAACCAAGGGGGTGTACCTCATTCTCTCCGGCCCGTGATGGTGACCCCTAGTCTCAGTTGTTACCAGCGCGCAGAGGGAGTGGAGGACTCCAGAATATCTGGCGTTGATTATTGACTTGCGGACCCCTCGGGGCCATTTTATTTGAGTGTACCTTTATAGGGTAAGTTAGCCTGCGACCACGGGAATCGACCGCGTCGAGTGTTGGAGTACGGACATGCGAAGGTACTGGGTAGAGAGAGATCGGAACGGTTTTTAATGTGAAGAAAACAACAACAACAACAACAACAACAACAACAACAACAACAACTAGTCTAAGTAAATCCTGGTATAGGATGAAAGCGACGCGCTGCAAAGCTCGTTGTTCGTAAACCATAATCGACTTCGTAAGTCGCGAGGGAAGGGATTGCTGTACTCTTCTCGCGATAAAAATACCTCAGGCAGGAACAGCAGGAGGGGGTCCAGCCCCCCCCTCCTATGTGACCCCGGTTGGGTCGTCTAGCTAGTAGAAGTGGATGATACATAGGGGCCAGAGGGGCAGATGACGCAGTCCGAAGAAGGTAGAAAAAAAAAAAAACATGCATGTAGACCCGTCCCCCAAATAGATTGAAATGGACGAGCACAAGTGCTGCGCATAAATCACCCTGCATGTGGTATTTGCCAAACCTCCGACTCGCGCAGTCTTTTTCCGTCAGATAACTGTGGGAGCATTGTGATTGTTGGTACGACAAGGGGATAAACATATATATTCTTCACCGAACCGAGACGACACGTCGACACACCCGCCCGAATAATTCGTTGCTTGATAATTAGACTAATGCTGAAAAACGAAGATTCTAGAATCGTTTCACAAACCTAACAAACCCAAAAATAGTCTGTGGCGCGGGGTCGGAAGAGTTCAAGACAGCGGCAGAAGGAAGGAAGGGTGGCAGCGTGCACTCGTTGACCGGTGACCGACGCATCATCAGCAAGACCAAAGTAAATGAACTGGGGGGGGAGGCGGGCCGGGCGCGCAAGGTACTTTCAAAAACAAAAGCAACAACGGCAAAGCGAGATCAAGGTACCCAACACAGCAGAGTAGGGAGGGAGGACATGAAAAAAAAAAACACAGCACAGAGGCCGAAGGCAATACAAAGGACATACACAAAGGAGTATAGCATACAGCAGGGAGGGGAACAGGGCGCAACAACATCAGCCGGGTACATCCTGTGTTTCGAACCCGACGGTAAGAGTCTACAGCAGTAGTAGAAGATGCACGGCCGAGAAGAAAAAAAAACGACGTGAAGCGAGGAAGAACCGTTCGGCTACCCTCACCAAGCTGCCCTCACACACAAAAGAAGCCGCCCTCTGTTAACAACCACCGCCGAGAAAACAAAACGAAGGACGGAAGGAACGTTCGGCACACACAGCAGTGTCACACCTGATGGGTGTTTTCGAGCATCCATTCCTCTTGCTTGATGCCCTGACACGCACAATCGAACGCGCCCTTTTCTTTTTGTAGCAACACCACCGCCAGGGGGTGGGTGTAGATCATGGCTTCCAACAAGAAGAGGGGCAGTTACAACGGCAGCAGCTCCCTCACCAAGGTGTGTCATCTCTTCTTCTCACCTCACACCATCGCCGCAAGGTTCGCACAGGGTGAGTGAGCCAAATGGCTGCGGGTGCGGCTGGTGCACCCGACAGATGATTCCGAAGATGGACATACATACATACAACATGCAACATGTAGACCCGTGCCACGAATAGATTGAATTGGACGAAAAGCGCACAAATCACCCGACATGTGGTATTTGCCCACCCTCGGAATCGCGCAGTTTTTGTTTTTTTTCGTCAGAGAACTGCTGTGGGAGCATTTCGGTCGTCGTTTCCGGGGAAAAAAACGTTTTTCAATTCCGAGCGCATGGAGCGCTGGTACGGGGATCGATCACGCACGGGTATGGCGTGCACGCGAGGGAGTCGCTGGGGAGACTTTCCCGTCCTCTGTCGCACTACAATAGAATAGTAGACTATGTGCTCAATCAAGTCAAAAATGGTTGACGAGGCACGCACCGCAAATAATATGCTACCTGCGTTTGCGTGTTGCGGTTTTTGGGGACTGGTCGCCCCTTCCCTTTCGATCAGCAAGCTGCTGCTGCTGTTGTCTCTCTCGGGAACACACTTAACTTTCGGCCACACGTCAAACATTGTGTGCTCAGTTCTATTGTATGCATATCTGCACAGCATAAGCCAACGAAAGCTTTTGATTGGCTGGCGTGGATGACGGCAACGGGTGGATCGCCAGACTATTTTTTTTTTCTCATGCAGCCCGCAGGGGATATCGCTCTGACTCAGGGATTTCCCGCAAGAAAAGGTAACAGAAACCAGCTGGCTACACACTCTAGGATGAAAGCGACGCGCTGCAAAGCTCGTTTGTTAGTAAACCATAATCGACTTCGTAAGTCGCGAGGGAAGGGATTGCTGTACCCTTCTCGCGATAAAAATACCTCAGGCATGAACCGCAGGAGGGGGTCCAACCCCCCCCTCCTATGTGACAACGGTTGGGTCGTCTAGCTAGTAGAAGTGGAGGATAGGGACCAGAGGGGCAGACGACAGAGTCCAATGATGGGAGAATAACAAACAAAAAACAAAACACAGAGAGAGGAAAGTTAGACGACACTGCTGTGAATCCATGGGTAGGTAGTTTCACTCTTGTCTGTGGATAACTCTTACCTATGGGCAGACTTCTTCTGCTGCAAGAACTGCAGTACAGCAGTGTAGTACAAACTCAACCCCAGAAAGGATGGACGACGATCATGATGTCATTGAGCTGTGAAAAAGATCCCAGAAAAGCCCATGGTGTACGAATATGCTTGCCATGCACACATGCGTGACGAAGATGCCGCGTGCTGGCGCGCATCTGACGGTGTTGTCAAGGTCTGCTGATACGGGTGCGTAAAGACCCTAAGCTCCAGCCCGCTGAAGTATTGTTGCGAAATAATCGCCCTAGACTAGTCTATTCCTTTTTTTTGGGCGTTGTGCGAAAAAATATTAGTCTAATCGCCCTGATGATCCTTTGACGGATGGATGCGGTTCGCGCGATACATCATGGTTGTTAGAGGACCAACGACCAGTGGGGACGGATAGACCATTGCAACAGAGAGACATCAAGCTACAACAGTTAGGGGTGTCAAAGCGGCGGAATTTGGGGCCAAAAAAACGTCCGGTCCATTCGGCAAAATTTGAGGGGGGCACGCGGATTTGGTTCTTTTTTGGTTCTTGAGAATCCCGCTGTTAATACTGAATAAACTATACATCAAGTCAATTTGTTTGTACAGGTAGCTCTGCGTCCACACAGCAGGATGGCTCTTCATGCGTTACACACACCTTGATACAGGTCCAATAGAGGTGACTATTGGATTGGATTCTCTTGAAGTTAAAGGGCGGACGAACAACACCAAAAAAACATGGTTCTTTGGGCTCTTTGCTCCACGCCCAAGGCGACCTTTGCTCCTCTTGAAAAAGCGACCCAATAGCCCTCTACCTTGGGTTTACAGCTATACTACACAACAAACCGCATCCGAATCGCATCAGCCAACCACGAGATCTACTTGTCTGAAAACGGCCCCTCCAGGGGGGCTGCAGTGCCCACACCAGCAGACCCTCCCAAAAAAAAATCGAGGTCCGCGCCGTTCGGCAGCAGGAGGCGCGCTGCGCGAAAGCTGAATCAAAACAAAACGAAGTTTGAAGAAAGGACGGGGCAGTGTATGGTTGCCACGTCAGCAGAAGATAACACGCGGCGCGCTATCGAACGCGGCAGCCTCCCCGTCGTAGAGAGAACGCTGGAGGAAACGAAGGAGGAGTTGGTCAAAAATAAGAAAACTGTGGAAGAGAGCCAGGCTCAACCTCGTTGCCGCCGCCGCCGCCGCCGCCGCTGCTGCTGCTGTTTTTTCAGCAGCAGCAGCGGCGGCGGCAAGTGTCTGCGTGGCTTCACCGCCCGGCTGCTGCCCGGGTGTGTCATGAGGCATGTGTTCTAGAGTGGGACCGCGCAATGGTGTTGTGCTGTGCCACATAACAGGGCGCAAAGCACACAGGCGAGCCGCGCCCTCGCGCGTGTGCGTCAGAGGGTCTTTTCGGGAGGTTCCGACGGTTTCGTGCAATTTCATTGGTTGGTCGATTTTCCATCAGCAAGATCCGAGGACGCTTTTTCGAATTTTTTCCTATAGGAAATTTTCCGCTTTGACACCCCTAACAGTATAGCTCGCCTGCCCTGTTGTTTTGTTGTTGCTTCTCACATTAGCTCTGTAGACTAGTCCATAAAGATGGGGAGCCCGTGGTCTCAAAACCCGGCACGTACGACGCCGCGGGGAAACAAAACAAAAATAGGGTACAAACCACTCGGAAAAAGAAGGCAAATGCTTCGAAGTCGATAAAAAAAAATAACAGGTACCCCACCGACCGGTCGAGAAAAGAGCCCTCGGAAACCGATCAAATAAAACAGAAACAAAAGCAAAGGAGGACGCTTCCCACACCCGCCCAAATAGAAACTAAAGAAAGGGTAACGTACCAGCACAAGGCACTACGCACCAGGGCATGGGAGTAACGAAGCAAACAGGACAAAGAGGCGGCAGATGGGCAAACAGCCAGAACAGCCAGATGAAAAGGCATTGTGATTGTTGGTACGACAAGGTATATTTTCTTCACGGCGCCCGAGAAGACACGTCAACACACCCGCCCGAATTATTCGTTGCGTGATGATGATGATGATGAGCTGCCTGTGAAAAAAACGATCCCCGAAAAGCCCATGGTGTACGAATATGCTTGACATGCACACATGCGTGAAGAAGATGCCGTGTGCTGGCGCGATTGCTGCATTGATCTGACGGTGTTATCAAGGTCAGCTGATACGGGTGCGTACAAACCCTGGGCTCTAGCCCGCTGAAGTATTGTAGTGATATATTCTGCGATATATTCGCCCTAGTCTAGTCTAAATCCTTTTTTTGGCGTTGTGCGAAAAAAAAATAATCGCCTTGATCCTTTGGCGGATCATCATGGTTGTTAGAGGACCAACAACCAATGAGGACGGGTAGGCCATTGCATAAGAGAGACATCAAGCTACAACAGTATTGCTCGCCTGCCCTGTGTTTCGAACCCGCCGGTAGGAGTCTACAGTAGTAGTAGAAGATGCACCGCCGAGAAGAAAAACGAACGTGAAGCGAGGAAGAAACGTTCGGCATACCCTAACCAAGCTGCCCTCACACACAAACGAAGCCGCCCTTTTGTAGAAGCAACAAACACTACCGCCGAGAGAAAACGAAACGAAGGACGGAAGGAACGTTCGGCACACACAGCAGTGTCACACCTGATGGGTGTTTTCGAGCATCCATCCCTCTTGCTTGATGCCCTGGCACGCACAATCGAACGCGCCCTTTTCTTTTTGTAGCAACACCACCACCAGCGGGGGGGTGTAGATCATGGCTTCCAACAAGTAGAAGAGGGGCAGTTGCAATGGCAGCAGCTCTCTCACCAAGGTATGTCTGTCATCTCTTCTCACCTCGCACCATCGCTCGCCATCGCCTTGTTCGTGTGTCGGGAACGATCTCACCGAGGAAAGAGAGCACAACAAGTAGACAGATAGACAGAGCGTTGTCATCTGGTATGATGAGCGTGTGTGTGTATCAGGCACGCCTTTTCTTTTGTTACGCCACGTAGAAGTAGGTGAAAAAGGGCGAGGTTCTTAGGCTTTAGCTCGGTCTACCCGACCGTTAGACTGCCAAATTTGCCCGTCCGCAGCCGACATGACGTGAATAGTCTAATGAAGAGAGACACAGACAAGACCGACTGGGACCTTTTTCTTTTCTGCTATTGGTTGTTTATGAAGACTAGATTGTGTAGGCGACAACGACAAGATGATCTCTGCCATCTGTCCGTCTGTGCTCGTTGAAGTACCGCCAATATGCCTCGGCTGCTGCGTCAAACATATTACACACAAAGGAGAGGCGTAGACCGGCGCCAGGAATAGACACAGATAGGCATGCACACATGGAGAGGACTTCGTGGCCTTCAACACGGAAAAAGACGGAAAGGACGGGGGGAAATGGAAAGAGAGCGCCAAGGACCCGGAGGTAGGTGTGGTACAACAAGGTCGAGGACGGGGCGGCATGGTTCATGAGGAAAGGACACAGGCAGGAGGAGTAAGCGTCCGCGAAGCGCCAGTGCGCTAGGGAAGCAAAAGCAGAGAGTACGGCCATCTCGGGACCGAAGAGAAAGGGGGTCGGGGAAGCGGCGGGGGGGGAAGAAACGGCGATCGGGCACTGCTGTTGAAGCAAGCAGGTCGGCCGAGGCAGCACTTGTGGCGAACTATTTTTTGTTGTTTGTTGCTCTCCCATCATTGGATTCTGTCGTCTGCCCCTCTGGCCCCTATCCTCCACTTCTACCAGCCAGACGACCCAACCGGGGTCACATATGAGGGGGGGGGGGACCCCCTCCTGCGGTTCCTGCCTGAGATGTTTTTATCGCGAGAAGGGTACAGCAATCCCTTCCCTCGCGACTTATGAAGTCGATCAAGTTTACTACCAACGAGCTTTGCGGCGTGTCGCTTCCAACGGAGACCAGGATTTAATAAGCGAGAAACAATGTCACTCTGTCGGGACTCGAACCCATGACCTGGCCCTTAGCAGGCTACGAGGCTACCCACTAGACCACCGGGGCGACCGGTGCGAACTATGTACCCGGCTGATGATGTTGTTGCGCCCTGTTTCCCTCCCTGCTATATACTGTACTCCTTCATCCATGCAATTTGTTTTGCCTTCGGCGTCTGTGCTGTGTTTCTTTTTTTTCATGTCCTCCCTGCCTACTCTACCGTGTTGGGTACCATGATCCCCCTTTTGCTATTGCTTTTGCTTTTACACATCTGGCTGTCTGCCCATCTGCCGCCTGTTTGTCCTGTTGGCTCCATTACTCCCACGCCCTGGTGCGTAGTGCCTTGTGCTTGTACGTTACCCTTTGATTTTTTTTTCTTGAGGCGGGTGTGGGAAGCGTCCTCCTCTATTTTTTGTTGATCGGTCTCCGAGGGCTCTTTTCTCGAACGGTCCGTGCGGTAGCTGTTCTTTTCTTTCGATCATTTTGTTTTTTCCGAGTGGTTTGTACCCTATTTTTGTTTCTTTGTTTCCCCGCGGCGTCGTATGTGCCGGGTTTTGAGACCACGGGCTCCCCATTTTTTGTGGACTATATAGCTGATGTGAGAAACAACAACAACAACAACAACAACAACAACATGGATTTTCGATGCTCGACATTCCCCCAACAACAACAGATTTTCAATTTTTGACAAGAGAACGCGGAGCCAATATTTGCGAAGCAGCTGGAATTGGAAAGGGATTATCGAAAGCTTTCGAACGAGTGTCGGGTGGTAGTTGCACACCCTTGCTCTGGAGAAGAAGCCGAGCCACGAACATCTATCTATCTATCCATCTGTCCAAAGGAATACCTCTCTTGATTACTCGTACCGGTAAAGCAGAGTAGATGATCTTTTTTTCATTTCATCATAATATACCCAACGAATCCATCTCTATCGAAAGAAGAGTCGAAGATTATGTCTTTGTGGGCGGTTACTGCACACATACGTCTGTGTACGTGAAAGGTTGGGCTCGCTGATCTCCCACACTACTGACAGTTTTACCGCCCATGGGACACCTTTGGGTCGCCCATGGGCATTTCATGGGCACTTCATGGGCCGTTCATGGGTAGCCACCTTCACATCAACCTAGAACTTAGCCACAGGCGCCAACCTAGCACGTGCCGTGTGGGCTTGTGGTTAGGGTAACGGTTCGTTAGGGTTATTACTCGCTTTAATGGCCGTCCCAAAGCAGATAATAATCTATCGTTTAGCAGTTCACTGGTTCGGTTGAAGGTCTCTCATCGGCCGCCCATAGGCTTCCCATGGGTTGCCTGCGAGCCGCCCCATGAGCCGCCCGCGGGCTACCCATGGGCATGGGCATGCCCATGGGTGACCGATGGGAGTCCCATGGGTCATTTGGGAAACTGTAGAATGAAAGACCCGGTTTGGTTCGCTCCTGCAAAAAAAGTACTCTCCTCATCATGTTGCCTGTTGCCTGATGATGATTCTCTGAAGACGTAAAAGTGCACCAGCTCCTCCCCAACCAAGCTCCTCCACATCACTACAGTACGGGTGCCATCCATCTGCTGCCGTGTGCAGGAACGGTCACCGTGACGATCGAGACGTTTGGTGGACTGGGGTACCGCACACCATGAGCCAACCCGGCAGACGGCGATCCGTCAGCAGCGGTAGAGGGTGACGCCTGCGGTCACGCGGTCGGGGTCTCGTCGAACCGATATCATGGTTGGGTGTCGGCGCGTGTACTTCATTGTCATGCTCGCGGGCTCCTGTAGATAATGTTTCTACGCAGAGGAGTGACTGAAGTTTCGCCCCAAAACGAACAGTCCACGACCGGCAGCGAGTGGACACAAAAAACATTTCTCCCGCCACGCCCCTGCGTACATGCACTACTTCTTCTGGCGAGGAAATCCTACTACAGCAGAAACAGTAAGGAAATAGAAAATGAAATGAATCAGAGCGAGGACAAAGAGGGACCAGGCCGAAAATAACAATAAATAAGAGACAGAAAGAGGCACACGGTGGAGAGACCCTTAACGAACAAGCAAACACGCAAACGCGGCCACCAACCAGCGATAGTAGTGGTACGTCATCACTAGTGAAGGGTTGGTGCAAT